TGAGGGTTGTCTTTCCTGATCTTCCAAGCATGATATCCCTCTCAAAGGAATAACCTCTCCTTGCAACATGTCCAATGCACAAGAGAAGAATTTTTATCACCTGTGCCTTCAAAAAGCACTCAGGCTTCACCTTCTTCAAGACAGATCTGTTTGTTCTTTTGGCAGTCCATGGAAGTCCCGCACTCTTCTCCAACACCACAGCTCAAAGGCATCAATTCTCCTGTCATCCTTATTCACTGTCATATTCTCAGACACATAGCAAGTAATTGAAAAGACCATGGTATGAATTAGGCACACTTTAGCCCTCAAACTCCCATCATTGTTCCTTAATAATTTGAAGATATCCCTGACTGCGGATTTTCCCATTGCGATACATCTCCTAATCTCCTCACTGCTGGTGGCACCAAGGGTGTTGATTGTGGATCCAAGTAAGATGCCACAGTTTCAATCTTTTCTCCATCAGTCATTATGCTGCCTATGGGTCCATTTGGGAGGATTTTTGTTTTCTTGACAGTGAAATACAATCCACACTGAAGGCTGTATTCTTTGATCTTTTGTAGGAAGTACTTCAAGTCTTCCTCATTTTCAGCAAGCAGGATAGCGTCATCTGCATAACAGGTTATTAATGAGTCTTCCTCTGATCCTGATTCCACATCTTTCTTCATAGAGACTAGTGTCTTGAATAATCTGCTCAGCATACAGATTGAATAAGTATGGAGAGAGGATACAACCCTGACACATACTTTTAGTTGTTTTCTTTTGTATTTTAGAATTGGTTTGCATACAATAACCCATGTACATTGTGTTTAATTAATATAAATTGTATTTTTATAGTATTTCACTTACATTGAGCTTAATACAATAATTCATAAACATTGTATTTTATATAATTAATTATTATTGATCCATACCCATCATTATCTCTTCTTTTTGATTCCTCACTGAATCTTTTCTATTCCTTCAATACCTCATCCATCCACTAAACTCTGTTATCCTTTCTCTTTTTACATTGACTTCATTCATGTACACTATGTTTTACACAATCCTTCATTTTGCTATCCTTTCTTAATTTTAAACCAGGCAGTGTTCCCTTGTTATGTTTGCAACACAAAATCCATAGACATTAGACATAAGGAAAATATTTCTTATTAATTAGCTATTCTAGATCCCCTGGGAGTGACCAGTTCGAGGTGAAATACCCACAGTTCTTGAATGAGAGAAGCTCACTCTGTTCCAATTCCAAGAAAAATGAAAGCAAAGAATGCACATGAGAATACACATGGAAACAAAGTTCAGAGGAAGTAAGGTTCTGTTTTGCAACAATTCATTGCCACTACTTCTGCTGAGTCAATTCCAGCTCCTGGCCACTCTCCATTGGGTTTCTGCAGTTGGAGAGAGTAACTTAAGGAGGAGACTGCCAAGGGATTGCTGGTGGGTTTGTATCACTAACCCTTCTGTTACCAACTCCGTACTCAACCTACTATACCACCAGGCTCCTAGCCTACAAGACGACCTTCAAATTAGAAGACCTAAGATGTCACCATCCCCTTACACTATCTTCTGGGAGGAGAGTGTTTAAGCTCACCTGGTTATTTCCTCTTTCAGGGCAGCAGGGTCTGCAGGGTAAAACTTCACACGGAAACACATGGTGAATGGAGGCTGGGCTGCAGAGATAAAGAGGTGTATGTCAGAGAAGATTCTCCATCAGGAGATGATGGGGTCTTCCACTCTGGGATTAGCACGCCTTGGAACCATCAGAAAAGTGTGCTCATATGATTTGGGCCAACTTAAGCACAAAGCAGTGCAAAACGACATGTGAAGACCAAGACTTAATATGTGTGGGAAGTTTTAAAACCCCCTCCCCCAAGCATGAGACTCCTGTCTTTTCATAGAGAATACTTACATCTCAATTGCTTCACAACAGACTTTGTAAACTCCAACCAATGCTGAAATACAGAAAACAGAACACAAAAACCCTAATAAGAAGCAGTGTAGAATGTGTTTTATCCAATTTAAATAACTAGACAGATTGCAGCCCAGGGTGAAAGCAGCACCAAAGTTTGTGATAGATAGATTTGGAAAGTAAGGAATGCAATGATTTTTTTTTTCAAATAAACTTCCCATGGAACCAACTAAGAAAGGGGGACTGTTCTGGGTCAGATGCCATTTCTGGGCATCCCTGGAAATTCTATCTTCCAAAGCAAAGTACTGAAGTTCTGAGCTGTATTTCTGGCATGCCAGGAGGCACAGAGCAAGCACAATTGAGTGATGGGAACAAAGACCCATGTGGCTTGAGCAGGGAAAAGCTGACTTTTATGGGTTGTGACTGTTATGTGTCAAAGGTTGGGGACAAAAGCTTTTAGTAGCAGTTCTACAAAGTACTGCCATGTGAATACAGAGGATACTGCTAGCATTTGTAAAAACTAATGTCAGAAATGAGGAGAAGTGGGCCAGGATGACTGTGTTGTCCATCTTTCTTTGAACAGTGTATACTGTCAGCCTTTATGTAAGAGAATACTTTTCAGCGTCCCTTGGTATCAAATGGTGTTTGGAGTCTGCCTCATAAGATAATAAACCAAAACTGATGTTTAGGATTGGTGAATAAAAAGATTCCTATTTTCCTTGGCTATTCATAGAGGCAGGCACAGTAGCAATATATCCCCTCACCCCCAGCATTTATTTGAGCAAAGGAAGCAATGAGGTCACTCTATAGCTCTTTCCCAGTTTTACACAGATGCCTTATAAAAATTCATTATTGATGCTGTGGCTCTTATGCTAACTAGGAAATCTGCCAATTTTCAGAGAACTGAAATTGCTGTGATTTGGGATTTGATTATCTGGAAGTAGCTTAATGTCATTAGATGTTAAGTTCTGTGAGGGCAGAAAACGTGTTTGTCATGTACACTGCCATATTCCCAGGCCTAGCAGAGTGCTCAGGACTGGTGCAGGACTGGAGGTCCATGGCTTCTATTTTGGCTACTTCCACTTAGAGGAATGTCCTGGCAGAATCCGCCCTCTGGCAGGAAAGCAGCCAGGGCCATGCAGGCAGCATCCTGGCCTCCCTTGATTCCCAGCTCTCACCTTCTGGGCTGGCCATGGGTCATGCAGTTAATGGACCCACTAAGAGCCAGTTCTTCCGTCAGCTCCACATGGATAATCTGGGCTGACATTCTGCTCTCTTGCTTCCTCTGATCTGAGTTCCCACGAGGCTGGCAACTCATTATAGCCATTCAATGTGGTTAAGAGGTCCTTCTCACATTACACGGCCTACCGAGGCTTAGCTTCACAGGGGAGCAAAGGGAAAAGATGAAATTGCTCTTCAGAAAGAACTGAGATTGCAGGCAGTGCCAATGAAGGAGCAGGAAGCTGGTCTGCTCAGAGCACATCAGAACTGTGAACAGAGAGGAGAATGCTGCCAAGTATCATTACAGACTTAGTATATAGAACACCTCTAGGCTAAACTGATTAAAAGAAACAAAGGAAGATAGAAACGAAGAGGAATGATTGTGAGGTGTATATAAGTAGAAGGCAGGAAAAGCTGAATGAAAAACAGTGTCTTATAACCACCATGGCAACAGCAACAGGAAAGACTAGTTTTAGTTTGTACAAGGAGAGCTCAGGAAAAGATTGATCTGAGAGGATTAGGAAGGGGTGGGAAGGGAAGGCAAAGCTGCCACAGCTTGTCCAAGAGATTCTAAGAACCTGGTAGAGAAATCTTGACAGGATCCCAACAGTATGGTATGGTCAAAGTCACCTTTTTACCACTCTCTGCCTTAATCTGGGTCCCAGAATTTCCAACAAACTAATAACGTGGGGTTGGGAAGAAGGGGCCAGGTGAAGGGGAAAAAAGAAGATTTGGAGAGATGAGTTTCCTTCTTTATTTAGACCAAGGACCCTGTTCAGCACAAGCTCCAGACTCTGGGGATTTGAAGGGGCGTGAGAGAGAGAGAGAATGAAGGCATTTCAGCTTTAGGGTCTGAACTGGAAACAGTAGTCAGTGGGGGGATGGCAGCTTCCCAGGAGGAAAAGGTGAGTCCCCAGACTCCAGAGTCCTGCTGATGAGAGAATGGGTGTGAGGCTGTGTTCAGATTACCTGCTGACCTAGTAAAAGAGGCTGATTTTAGGGGGAAAAGGGAGCCTTCTCTCTCCATCTGTGTCACAAATTAGTAGAACTGGCATGACATCTCTTTTAAAAGTCCATGTCTCCCCAATCCTCAGGACTCCTTAAGTCTCTCTGACCTCCATCACTCCTCCCTTGAGGCACTGAGTCACATAACTCAAAGGCTCAAAAGTATGAGTTCTGCACATGGATCACTAAAAGATCTAACAAGTTTGTCCTGGAGAGGGTGAAACCAAGCTGCGCGTTAGAGGCAAGGATTTTGAAGCTTTGTTTCACATACTTTGGGCATGTTGCCCAGAGGAACCAGTCTTTGGAGAAGGACATCATGGGTGGAGGGACAGCACAGGAGAGGAAGATCCCGGATGAGATGGATTGACACAGTGACTGAGTTAATGGGGGTAGTTGTATCAGAGACAGTGAGATTAGTTCAGCATAGAGCAGGGTTCAGAGCTGTCATGTATGCGTTGTAGGTGACTCGACAGCAAATAACCACCACCATTCCCTCTTGGAGATGGAGAGTTCCGCACTTCTTTTTAAACTTATTTTTATTGTTTCATTCTTGTATATTGTTTCTGGGTTTAGGTTTTTTTTGTCTCCAACCCTTCCCTCTTTGTATATCCATACCCATCTCACTGGGTATCATTCTGTTTTTACAATAATGGTTCTATAGAGCATTTGTTCTTATACATCTGAGTTAGTTCACTCAACATAATGCTCTCTAGCTTTTCCTATGTTTTATAGCATTTTTCAAAATCATTGCTTCTGAGTGTTCCATAGTATTCCATTGTATGACTGTACCATCGTTTTTCAATCCAGTAATTTTTTTGATGGGGATTTTGGCTATTTCCATGGTCTTGCTATTGTGAATAATGCTGCTATGAACATTGATTTACAAATCTCCATTTGTATCTCAGTTTTGTTTTCCTTGGGATATATTCCTAGCAATGAAATAGCTGGGTCATATAAAATCTCTATGTTCAGCTTTTTGAGGAAACATCAAACTGCTTTCCAGAGTGGCTGTGTCATTTACAAACACACCAACAGTGTATGAGAGTTCCAATCTGTCCACACCCTCAACAACATTTATTGCTTGCTGTCCTGTTAAACTTTGCCACTGTTACTAGAGTGAGATGGTATCTCATTGCTATTTGGATTTGTATGGACTTCCTTCTTAAGGACAGACATCTCAGATCAAACAAAGTGAAACAAAATCTACTTGTAAAAATAGTCCAACACTATCTAGTGAATAAGCCCCACTGCAGGGGTGGTGTCAAGTCACTTTTATACCTGTGCCTATTTGCATTGTGCCTGGATGAAGGAGTCTTCATGCCAAGACAGTGAAGCCTTTACAGAGTGAGGACTGACTCCAAAGGCTGAATATGAAAAGGCACCATTAAGGCCTTAGGCACTAACCCTGTCCTTTTGTGCTTTACATATTGACTTACCCGCTGCTTGTCAGGGTCCACAAATCTGATCCCAAAATAGTCTTTCTCAAGTAGGTTCAGGTGGTGGCAAAGAAGGTCAAACAGGTACTGGCCTTTGGCATCTCTCTGCAAAAAAAGCAGGTTCCATTGAGAAATGAATGGGCTCATTTTTATAGTCATTAAAAACTGTGTAGCAAACAACAAATGTTTAGGGTGGAGAAACTGGAACCCTTATTCACTGTTGGTGAGAGTGTAAAATGGTGCAACCACTATGGAAGGCAGTATGGTGCTTTCTCAAAAAGTTGGAAATAGAAATACCACTTGACCCAGCAATTCCACTACTGGGAATATACCCCAAAGAAACCAGAACTGCCTCCCAAGCAGATATATGCACAGCCATGTTTATTGCTGCTTTGTTCACAATAGCAAAGAGCTGGAAACAACCCAAGCGCCCATTACAAACGAATGGATAGAGAAGTTATGGTACATTTACACAATGATATATTATGCAGCACTGAAAAACAAAAAGAATTTATATTATACAAAATGGGTGACCATGGAGGACATTATGCTGAGTGAAATAGCTCACTTAAAAAAAAAAGATAAATACTGCATAATGCCACTATTACAAAACAGGACTGACATGGGGATTGAGGGAAAACAGAAAAGAGGGGATAAATAATGTACACAGCATTGAAACAGATGAGGAAGAGAACAGTATGAAAGGAATATATGATTAGGTATTATTGGCATGACAAAGGTCTAGATTAAGAATTGTATAGTAAAGTGGTCTGTGTGTGTGTGTGTGTGTGGGTGTGTGGGTGTGTGGGAAAAGAATGCATTAACAATGAAAGAAGCAAACTGTGGGGAAGAGAAAAGGGAGGAAAATGTGCAACAATGAATGAATGGAAATCCAAGTTCTTTACAAACTTTCATTAAAATTTAAAAAAAGAGAAAAGATAGGAAAAAAACCCCAAACAAACCAGTGTGTAATGGTTGTATAGGAGCCATGGCAAGGAGTTGTACCGAAACCAAAGTCAAGTGGTTTGAATCCCTTCTATATGACTTACTGGCTCTGAAAACCCACTAGAGGGTAGGCTATGAGTCGATTCTGACTTGACGATGTGTAACAACAAGCAGAGTTGTATACAGGTATTAAAAGGGCACATGCCCATAACTACTCCCTCCAGGCTGTCATGTGGATTTGGGATTCTTTGGAATTCTGAGGCTTTCAGCACTTGACAGGAGCCTAAGAACGTGTTTTCTTCTGTGTAGTCAAACACTTAACCATTTTTGCCACTCAGAGACTTCACATACACATACATTTCCTCTTTTAAAGATATAAATAATATAGGATACTTATATGATCCTGTTACCTGTTTTTCTTCTCCCTCCCCTCTCCTTAGTATATTTTAGAAATTCTGCTGTGGTGAAATACATATGTACATGTAGCCTCCCAGTTTTTAACAGCTGCATACCATCTAACACAACTCATTGCTCTCAAATTGATTCAAATTCATAGCAACCTAATAGGTCAGGATGGGATTGCCCCACTGGGTTTCCAAGGCTGTGCGTGATGCTGGGAAGGGTGGAGGGTCAGTGAAGGAAAGGAACACTCTCAACCAGGTGGATTGAAACGATGACTGCTGCAATAGGCTCTTCTAGCTCAGGAATTGTGAGGATGGCATTACATAGAATAAGGTTCAGATCTGTTGTTCATAGGGTCTCTATGAGTCTTACTTGACTCAACAGCATCTAACCACTACCACAACACAAATATCTTTGCAGAAATAGCTGGCCACAGTTTTCTTCAGGAGAGTAGCTAGTGGGTTCAAAACAACAAACTTTCGGTTAGTAGCCAAGTGCCTATCAGCTTACTAGATCTACTTTATAGAACAGTCTAACAAACATAAATTTCTTTTTCCAGTTCCACACTGGTGGAATTTGTTAATCTTGCTATTACAAGCAATGTGGACACCTTATCTCTCTGTGTGCCTCTCTCTCTCCCTGCCATCAAGTCTGAACAAACTCATAACTGACCCACTAGCATGTTTTCAGAGGCTGTAAATTATGCAAATGGAGCCTGTCGCTCTTCCTCCTGCAGACCAGCTGGTGGATTCAAGCTGCTCGAGAGGGGCCACCTTGGAGTCAGCAGAACAGCCAGGCAACCACAGCTCCCCAGTGAATACACAGAGCTCTTTAATATTGTTACCACTTAACACCATCAGTGGCTCCATGTTGTTCTCAGGATAAAATCCAAATTCTGTTCATGGCCCTCCGGGCTCTATATGACCTGGCTTCTCTTAGATCTCAGCTAAAATATTTTTCTGGCTATGATCTTCCTATTTCTGAACACCCAAGGCTTTTCTGCACTGGACCTCTGCATTTGCCCACTCTGTCTGGAATGTTCTTCTTCACTTTGTTCAACAAGTTTCTTTCCTTGTGGTCTCAGCTCAAATGTCTCTTCTGCTAAGAGATCTTTCCTATATAGAGTAGCATTTTTCTGTTTCCCCCCTCCACCACATATATGATGTTGTCATGTGTTATAGTGTTGTCATAGTGACCCTATGTACAACAGAGGAAACCACTGTGGAGTTTGGCACCATCCATGCTATATCTGAGCCTGTTGTTGCAACCACTGTATCAATCCATCTCATCAAGTGTCTTCCTCCTTTCACTGACCCTCTACTCTACCAAGCATGGTGTTCTTTTCCAGGGGAAGGTCTTTCCTGATAACACGGCCAATGTATGTTAGAACAAGTAAGCCTCACCATACTTTTTCCTTCCTTCCTTCCTTCCTTTGTGTAGAAATGAACAACTTTATTTGAAAACACCCAACATCTTAGAAAATCAACTAGGAAAATAGACACTTTTTACTAAGTAACTTATCTTTAAAACCAGACAGTGATTTTATCCTGCTTGATATTTGGAATGATAGAGCTGTATAGGACCCTCATCCCTTGTTTTTATTCCCTGTAAAATCTATCTAGAAAGGAATCCTTTGTTCTGTCTTGCTATTGGTCAGTTTGGATGTCTTTTCTTCAATAGAATGAATGCTTGATGAAAGAACTTTGCCACATTTATCTATCTATTCAAACCACTGTCTTCACCAGAGTGGTTTTGGCTAAGTCATTAGATATATACTCTGAATTTCCTGATCCAAAGCTCTCGGATTTGGAACATGAATTTCCATCTCCATCTATGAGGTGGCAGTGGGTCTCAGTCTCCTTCTCCAGATGGACCCTGATGTAGAGGAACTGCTCTTACTTGAGTTTCTGGCCCTCAGTCTCAGTTCTGACCTGGTGAAGCTCCTCCTTCAGGATCCGATCTGAGCCTGGATCTGTGTGAACTGCGTGCAGTAGTTACCTTTGTTCTTGGTCAGGGAGCACTTCAAGAGTGTTTCATTACCAGGAGGGACGGCAGCTTGATCTCCAGGGTCTGCAGGCTGCACTTTATTTCTGTCAGCTCGTTTCTGGCCGAGGTGACTGTGCCAGGAGCATCTGAAATCTGCTGCTGCAAGGTGGCACTCTTCTCGTTGAATCAGGCCTCCGTGTCCCTGTGGTTCTGATTTGCAAGCTCTTCGTACTCCGCATATTGTTATGCAGGACCGTGAAGTCGACCCCAGGGGCCGTATTCATCTCCATGTTCACACTGTCCCCAGCCACGCACTGCATTTCCCTTCCATGCCTTCATTTCCTCCTCATGATTCTTCTTTAGATACGTCATCGCCTCACTCAGGGATTCTTACTACAGCTCCTGGTCAGTCCTGCACAGGGTCAGCTCATCCAGGGCTCCCTGAAGCCCAATGATGTCAGCATTGACACTTTGGTGAAGGGCAAGCGTGGTTTCATACTATAGCCGGGAATCATCGGCAGCCAGTCTGGCTTTATCAATTGGAGAATGACATTGGCGTTGACAGTAGTGGAAGAGATAATCTTGTTTTTAAGATCCTCAATGGTTAGGTGGTATAAGTTGTAGTCATGATCAAGTCCACTGCCAAAATCTAGGACCATATTTTTCATTACAACCCTTGATTTTTCTCTCCAGTTTGGCATGTGCTTCCTCCAAAGCCCACATTTTATCCTGGTAGGATGCCAGGCAGTCATTGAGGTTCTGCACCATCACCTTTTCATTTCCAGGGGACAGTCCCCCTTCATCTCCAGCAAAGCCAACACAAGCAGCATTTCCAAGGGAACCAGCAGCGTGGCTCCTACCAGAAACATTGCTCACCATCCTCTTTTCGTTTCTTTTTTACCATCCTCTTTTCTAAAGAGCATTCGGGCGCTGCTTCTTTCAGACTTGTTCATTTTTTTGTGAGATCTATGCCAAAGCGAGAGATGACACATCCCTGGTGCACACCCTTTCCAATTTTGAACCATGCCCTGTATCCTTGCTCTGTTCTGAGGACTGTCTCCTGGTCCAAGTATAGGTTGCGCATAAGCACAATCAAATGTTCTGGATTCCCATTTTTCTCAGAGTCAGCCACAGTTTGTTGTGATCCACACAGTCAAATGCCTTTGCATAATCAATGAAACATAGATAGACATTCCTCTGGTATTCCCTGCTTTCAGCTAAGATCCATCTAACATTAGCTATAATATCGCTAGTACCACAGCCTCTTCTTAACCCAGCCTGCGTGTTACGCAGTTCTCTGCTGATGCCCTGTTCTAGTCGTTTTGGGAAAATCTTCAGAAGAATTTTGTTTGCATGTGATATCAATGATATTGTTTGATAATTTTTGCATTCTGTCAGGTCACCTTTCTTTGGAATGGGAAAAAAATATTGATTTCTTCTAGTCAGTTGGCCAGGTGGTTGTCCTCCAGATTTCTTGACACAACTTGGTGTGCACATTGGGGCAGAGGGTTTTTGTTGAAATATGTCAATTGGTATGCCATCATTTTCTGGGGCCTTGTGTTTTGCCAATTCTTTCAGAACAGCTTAAACTTCCTTCATCATCACAGGCTTCTGCGCATACATTGTTTCATGAAATTCTTCTGTGTCCGCCAATTCCTTTTGATACAATGACTCTGTACACTCTTTATCTTCTTTGAACACTTCCTGGATCATTTAATATTCTGTCCAAAGCATCCTTAAGTATTGCAACTTGAGGCTTGAATTTGTTCTTC